ACAAGTCAAATCTAAAGTCATATTTGAATTTCTGAGAACATGTAGATGATTTTGAAAAAAAAAATTAGTCAATTTTAAGCAAGATGAAAAAATACCTTTTTGACCTTTTTTGACATTGAGAGGTCATTGAAGGTCAAATGTCAAATCTAAAGTCAGATTTGAATTTCTGAGAACATGTAGATGATTTTGAAAAAAAAATTTAATCAATTTGAAGCAAGTTGAAAAAAGACCTTTTTGACCTTTTTTGACTTTGAGAAGGTCATTGAAGGTCAAATGTCAAATCTTAAGTCAAATCTAAAGTCAGATTTGAATTCCTGAGAACACGCAGATGATTTTGAAAAAAAATTTTAGTCAATTTGAAGCAAGTTGAAAACAGACCTTTTTGACCTTTTTTGACCTTGAGAAGGTCATTGAAGGTCAAATGTCAAATCTTAAGTCAAATCTTAAGTCAGATTTGAATTTCTGAGAACACGTAGATAATTTTGAAAAAAAAATTTAGTCAATTTGAAGCAAGTTGAAAACATACCTTTTTGACCTTTTTTGACCTTGAGAAGGTCAGTGAAGGTCAAATGTCAAATCTTAAGTCAAATCTAAAGTCAGGTTTGAATTCCTGAGAACACGTAGATGATTTTGAAAAAAATTTTTAGTCAATTTGAAGCAAGTTGAAAACAGACCTTTTTGACCTTTTTTGACCTCGAGAAGGTCATTGAAGGCCAAATGTCAAATCTTAAGTCAAATCTTAAGTCAGATTTGAATTTCTGAGAACACGTAGATGATTTTGAAAAAAAAATTTAGTCAATTTGAAGCAAGTTGAAAACAGACCTTTTTGACCTTTTTTGACCTTGAGAAGGTCAAATGTCAAATCTAAAGTCAGATTTGAAGGTCAAATGTCAAATCTAAAGTCAGATTTGAATTTCTGAGAACATGTAGATGATTTTGAAAAAATTTTTAGTCAATGTGAAGCAAGTTGAAAAAAGACCTTTTTGACCTTGAGAAGGTCATTGAAGGTCAAATGTCAAATCTAAAGTCAGATTTGAACTTCTGAGAACATGTAGATGATTTAGAAAAAAACTGAAGTCAGTCTAAACAGTATTTGTTAAGTTATAGGAAGTTGTAAGAAATTGTTACAGACGCCGGACGCCAACCGCCGGACGCCAACCGCCGGACGCCAACCGCTGTCGCAAAAAAAAACGGAGACCATAACAATATGTCACCACTTTTGGTGGTGACATAATAAAAAACTGGGCGAAAAAATGTGTTAATTGAATATGAAGAACAATGTTTCCATCATAGGACACAAATGGCTACATTTTGGAAATAGAACCAAGTAATAAAAGTTGGCAGTGTTTGATTCAAGGAAGCAAACATGCAAACTTCGGGATGCAAACATTATTTTTTGGTCAGGAGTCACTTTCAAAATTGCTTTCTCTCATTGGAACTCACAATTTTGTTCATTATTTCTGCCTCCTATTTATTTTTGATCAAGCTAGTTTGGATTTTTTCCCAAATTCACCGTGAGGTAGCTCCAAAAAATTGTTGCTTAAAATATTCAAACCCCTTCCTGTCAAATCCTGGCTAAGCCACTGCAAAGGTGCAGTTTCACAATTTTTTATTGGAAGTGGTCATATGACATCAGTGATGTGGTAATTTCAGGTCCATTATGGTCGCTTAATTTTCCTTGAAATCCCAGAAGTTTACAAACAGGGCTGCGTAAAGTTACGAAGTTATAATTGTACTCTAAACAAAAAATATTTACTAGGAGATTTTTGAGGGGATGTGACTGCACCTAACTCACAGGAATGCTAAGGCTTTACATTTTACATGAAGCAGTGACACCATCATGGGCATTCACCAACAGTCCAGAGGCTCCAGGATGATAATGCTCAGATGAAGTGGAAGTCATACTGATTTACTTCCTGCGAAAGCTATGTGGATTTTGATATGATAGCTTTCCCACGGCGCACTTGGACAGCTGAATAATAGTAACCTTTAAAACATGAATAATGAGATCCGCGGCTTACTTTTGGTCTCTAACTATGTCTTACATCAGTATCATCAATCCGTGCAAGTATTGGAGCGCTGAAATACTTCTTTTTCGATCAAGACTTGTAAATTGTTCATCGAGTGAATGTTTTTTCGACCCATTTTCAATTACAAGTCTTGATCGAAAAGGAAGTACTCCAGCGCTCCAATACTTGCACGGAAGGATGATAATGATGTATGACATAGTTAGAGAACAAAAGTAAGCCACGGATCGACTTAATTCGTGTTTCAAAGGTCACTATTATTCAGCTGTCCATTTCTCAGTTGGAGAGCCATAAGTTTCAAAATCTAACATCATGGCTCTGTCTCGAAGTGAACTGATAATCCACATGCTATCTATTGCAAGACTTACGCCTGCCACAACCGTCACCATGTTAATCAGTGTTTTTAAGTAGCGCAAGGATCCTGCCATGACCGTGGTAGTGTTATTGTGTAAGCCTGGTATAACCGTGACAGGCTGGTATAACCGTGACAATGCTGTATTATATTGCAAGGCCTGTCATGACCCTGGCGCGACCGTAGCCTTTATTGTGGCTTATAAGCGAATGTGAATATTAATGAATAGTAGTAATTTTGATTTTAACATGATTAAGGTAGTTAAACACCATGATCATAGAATTAAACTGTTTAGTTGAAATGCCGATCACATAAAATTGTTAAGGATATTCCTGGCGTTATGTCATACATATTTACTACTCATTGCAATACATTATAACGGTCATAGTAGGACTAAGCCTAAATTTCTACATTACCACCCTCATACCTGGCCTTGCAATACTATATTACATTGTCACGGTCATACCAGGCTTTGCGATCCCATAATACATTGTCACGGTCATGTCAGGTTTTCAAAAACACATTGTCAAGGTCACTTATAGCAAATCATAAATTTCTATATTACCACTCTCATACCCGAACTTGGAATATTATATCACATTGCCACGGCGGTCATACCAAGCCTTGCAATACTATATTACATTGTCACGGCCATGTCAGGCCTTGCAGTACTATATTACATTGCCACGGTCATGCCAGGCTTTGCAATACACATTGTCACAGTTATAGCAGTCCTAATCGTAACTTTCTACATTACCACTCTCATACCTGAACTTGCAATACTATATTACATTGTCACGGTCATGCCAGCGCCTTGCAGTACTATATTACATTGTCACGGTCATACCGAGCCTTGTAGAACTATATTACATTATCACGGTCATGGCAGGCATTGCAATATAATACAGCATCGTCGCGGTTATACCAGGCTTTCACAATAACATTACCACGGTCATGGCAGGATCCTTGCGCTACTTAAAAAACACTGAATAACATGGTGAAGGTTACGCCAGGCGTTAGTCTTGCAACAGATACGGTCTCTGATAATCAACTGTTTCAAACACAGGGGCTTGTCTCGAGGCGTCGGGCAAGCCCTCCGATGAGTCTACTGCTTATTAATAGTATTAAGGGTGGTCGGTTTTGATGCTACCTGAAATTTGTAGAAAATGATTGTTAGATATATGAAGTAAAAATATATGGAATCCTTTCAATAATCGACATGCTGATTCAAACAACACTACAGAGTAAACTTACCTAAAATGGTAGCAATCCATCCACTAGTTGCTGAGATGTGTGAAGAACATGTAAGGAAGTGATTAAATTTAATTGAAAATGCAAAACACGACAATTTTCACCCTCAAATTGTTAGCTCCAGAGTCGATTTCTTCCTCAAGACACGTCCACTGTTAAAAATCGGTAGTTCCTAGAGTTCTTTGTTTACTTAGGTTCATTTCCGTATATTATTTTTAACGAAGGACAGTCTATAACGACTGCTATACGCAAAATAGATGCATGAAATTATGTTTCGAAACTGAAAATGTGTTCCATGCGCAGTTGCGTTCAATCCAGCAATTTGATTAGTTCATATTATATGAACGCATGCGCAATGACCACATATTTTTCTAGATAGATGTCACTTGCGTTCATTATTTCACACCAGTCCCTTCCCATGATGCACCTAATATTGCGGGAATATTTTCCTTTAGTGATAAAACAAATAACTCTCATCTTCGAAATATGTTTTCCGTTCCTTGGCAATAATCTTTCATTTGGTACCGATCCAACCGCCGAAAAGTAATTCGAATCGTTCTGAATCGTGGGAATGAAGTACTTTCTTTTTTGCGCATGCGCATAGAACACGGGATATTCGGCCATTTTTCAACTTTCAGTTTCGAAACATAATTTCATGCATCTATTTTGCGTATAGCAGTCGTTATAGGCTGTCCTTCGTTTAAAATAATATACGGGAATGAACCTAAGGAAACAAAGAACTCTAGGAACTACCATTTTTTAACAGTGGACGTGTCTTTGGGAAGAAATCGACTCTGGAGCTAACAATTTGAGGGTGAAAATTGTCGTGTTTTGCATTTTCAATTAAATTTAATCACTTCCTTACATGTTCTTCACACATCTCAGCAACTAGTGGATGGATTGCTACCATTTTAGGTAAGTTTACTCTGTAGTGTTGTTTGAATCAGCATGTCGATTATTGAAAGGATTCCATATATTTTTACTTCATATATCTAACAATCATTTTCTACAAATTTCAGGTAGCATCAAAACCGACCACCCTTAATACTATTAATAAGCAGTAGACTCATCGGAGGGCTTGCCCGACGCCTCGAGACAAGCCCCTGTGGTTTCAAATGGAAATTTGAACTACTGAACTACTATACAGCCTGTATACCCTGTACAGGCATACTGTACACATTGTGGGATTCACTGGCCTACCATTACTTGGAACAGAGCATTAAATAAAGAGAGATTCTGATAAATAAGAATGCATAAGTTACAGTTAATGTCAATGAACTGAAAAATAAAATTTATCAGTTTTTTATGAACATTTTTTACTGATAATATTTCAAGAATTCCTTGATGGATCAAAATAATTCGAACCTTACCTGATGGCTGATATGTCTGTGACATTCCCCGCATAATCTAAATGTTGATTTTCCTTCTAATAAGTGGGTTTTTGTCTCTAAAATTGAAGCAATCGACCGCCACATCTTTCTTGTGGCCATGATTTTGTCTCTGACGTCAATGAAGGTGTTGCCTCTCTTAGCCAATCAGAAAACTGCAAATAGTCAGCTGACCCGACCTTTATAAATGTAGGTTATTTGAGTACAATACAATCCCGGAATACAATCATAGCCATGAAAACACAATGATGCTCAAGATCCCCGGGCCAAGCTCTTATGCACAAGTGACGGATTCGATGGCTTATTTCACATCATAATCTTGACCATGATCATCCAGACAAGTTTATAGCACTATTGCAATTGATTCACTCCCCATCCATTGTCTTCAAGCCAAAATGACATGTAGTTTTCACTAAGTAAGCCACAAGAGTTCAAAATAATCGTTGATATAGGCCCCGATGTTGGGCCTATGACAAAACAAAAATGCGTTTTATTAGAAAACAACATATGTCACGTGAATTTTCTTTCTAATTGGAAAAGGGGAGTGAATGAAGACCCAACTGAGAAAAGCACAATATTGATGAAAAGTTAACAGAGCCAACAGACTGTCAATAATTTAATTCTTGCTTGATGCTGTAGACAACATTGTTAAATGAATGAATAAATAAATAGCTCAACGTTGCATGGAATACTAGTATATTAAGAGTAAAGAAAAATTGCACTCCTATTACAAGTTCTAAAAGAGTAGAACTCCAAAGTTCTACATACCCTACCATTAACTGCTGCCATCTATAAATTAACAATAAATGAAATTGATATAATTTCAAGTATATTTTATTTCAGATTTCTCAATCATTTAAACCAACTTTTAATGCTATTTTAAAAATGTTTAAATAGATGGATTTATATAATACCATTGAAATCTGATTGAAATCTTTTTTCAGTGAGATTTTCAGAGATTCTGTATTGTTAACCAACGTACATTTCTTAGTATTATGGCATATTCGGATTCTTTGAGTAATTTTCTATCAATACAACTTTGATTTGCATGTTATTACTAGGGTTATAGTTATTTGCCTTTATTCAAGTTACAAAGATTTACAACTTCTAAAAAAGGTCGGGCTAAATTCACATTAAAACTTTTATAAAAGTTCATTTACTCTAAAAAGGATTTTATTACTGTACAATACACATGTCAACAGGATCATGTGCAGTTTCAGGAGCGTCACATCATATTTGAAAAGGGGGTGAACCGAAGTTCAATACTGGGGCATACTTTGTAACGTCACGAGTGATGAACAATTGCGCTTTTCTGTAGAATTCTCAATGAAAAGACGTCAAAAAGCTACATGGGACATTTTTGTACCTTTTTCTTTCGCATCGTTTTACAAGTTATCATGTTTGAAAATGTTTGAAATTTTCCACGATCAAAATATATTAAAAACCTATTTCTAAAATGTTTTTATTTTAATATATTTCTTAATTTTAATGCGTGCACGTGATGGCTGGATTTCAAGTTTACGCATTTTTAAGCTAAAAATACTAGATGGGACATTTTTCGTACCCTACATATCATTTGATATTTAAGAAATTTGAAGGAAATTTAATATTTTTTCTTCAGATTTATTAATTTTAGCCAAAACCTTGTTTCTAATTTTAATTTCAGCCTTTAAAAGTAATTAATTCTAAAATAAATGGCATTTTGCTTTCCTAGGGGTCGTCAAAATACCCAGCGTGACGGCCTTTGGATTTTGTTTGAAGTTGAAAAATCAGCGTCACATTCCATTGTTACCTTAAAACTAATGACGTCATAATAAAGATCATTGTCTCAGGAAGTGATTCATACCTGTCTCATCAAAATTGATGAAAAAATAATCATTCTACATCATTTCGAAAAATAGCGCGCTCCTAAAATGTTACGCGTGACGGCATATTTCTAACGTTTTGACCAACGAAGGACGCTCTAAAATGCTCTAAAATGGAAAAATCCATGTAAAATATACAAATGAGGTTTTAAAGGGTACCTATACGAAGATTTTGATATATAACATGAGTATGTTCGCTTTCCGAACTTTCCCGATATTTACATGGTAAGAATATGGAACGTCAAAATTTGAAATATGCCCCAGTATTGAACTTCGGTTCGGTGCGTTTTCCGGAAAATATAAGGGTTCGGGGGCATGCTCCCCCGTGAAATTTTTTCGAACACATGATTATTTGGTGCAATCTGAGCGTTTTTAAGGACTTTAAAGAGTTCTTTTCTGATAAAACTAAATCGGTGTTTAAACGATTTATCAGATTAATGTTCTACCCGTTGGTACCAGCCGCGGATCCAGGATTTTGTGTTGGGACTTGGGGGGGGGGCTTTGTAATGGTTGTTAGGGAAACGAACCATGACGAGTGAGGAAACACTTATTATTAACCTGGATACTTACCTAATAAAACATTCAATTTTTCTGCAATATTTTCTGCGTTGCTACATCAGCAACATTTCTGTTTGAAGCGATGGATTCATTTTTAAAAGGAGTGGTATCGATTTTCTCTTAAACCAATCATTGAAAATATTCTGTAAAAACACGGTATTTTATGTAATGTTCACTGATTGACAACAATTCAATGCGAAAATTATTTAGAAATATTTCATATAACTGTTATCATTGTTAACATTTTTTTGATTTTTTAGTGCAATTGTTTTTTGCTCCTTTCTACCAATTCTTGAGAATGAAATAAAATGTCTTTCCGAACCTTGTTGGAACAAAATAGCATATACAACATGTTTTTAGACCTCTCAATACTATAGTTACATGTATACAAAGGAATTTTTGGTTGATTTTAAAAAAGTATTCAAAAAATTAAAACAAAATCCCCAAAAATAGATAAAAATCAAGATAACCCTTTTATTTCATTAACAAGATACTTTTTTAAAATCAACGAAATTCCTTTGTACAATTATAATATTGAGAGACCTAAACATGTTGTGTGTATGTCTCTTTGTTCCAATGAGGTTCGGAAAGATGTTTCATTTCACTCTGGAAACATGATACCAAGAACAAAACAAGTGTTTAATGTGTTTTCTAAAACAATATAGATGAAAGCTTTTTTTTTCAAATAATATTGTTACAATTCAAAAGATGACCATTAAATTGACTATGTGTTGAATTTTTAGATTTTTTCCATGACTGGTTTAGAGAAACGTGTGTTCAAATTCTCCATATCGATACCCATCCTTTGTAGTCCGAAGATTTACATGTTCTTTTACGAAAACACAATTGCAATTTAAAAAGGAGGCTTGAAAGTTGATTTCTTTGAATATTTTTCTTTCAAATGATTTCTTGAAAAATTAGATGGATGGCTGTCAATTGAATGCTCTTCCGATGTGCCGGTAACATGATGAGCGTATTGACAGTTATATTAAGGAAAAACTAAAATTGTTTGTACCATAAATCAATGAGTCATGGATTTGCTGAAGTGAGGATTTCCCATGAAGAGTATTTTCAAGAGGCCATTACTACATCTGTGGATGAGAGTATAGAAAATGTAAAATATAGGGGACATGTACGAGACTGGAAACTATGGGCTTTGCAAACCACCATGGTTTGGAAATGGTGATAGAAAATCGACTACTCATTTATTTATGGTCCAAACTGCAGTTCCGCTCCAATGTAATTGTCCGTTACGAAATTAAGCTTGTATTAGCAAATGCAACTAACGGCTAGCGGCTACCGGATTAACCAACTATTTTATGACCAACTTGTTTAAATATGTATGGAATAATGGCAGGTACTAGTATTCATATCTAAATGAATTACCCATAAAATAGTAGGATAATCCTATAGCCGCTAGCCCTTAGTTGCATTCGCGAATACAAGCTAAGTAACGTTATATGTAGAATTCAGATATGTCTAGGAAACCTACAGTAGTAACTAACAGTTTTACCGTATGCTGAGATTTAAACGTGTTTCTCGTTTTTTTCTTACATTTCATACAGTTTTATATCATCCAAGAATGACGTGCATTGTGTTAATATGGAGCGAGCTCAACCGATTGAATTCAGTTTTGAAAAATAAGCGCTCGATTTTTTGTAAACAGAAATACGATCCACAATCTGTTCTAAATTGATGAACATGATCGTCTTCATCGATATTTATGAATGTAAATTACAATTAAAGTTTTGCACAAAATGAACTTTTGGTTTTTAAACTCGTTTTTAAATCTTGGAATTTCTTGTCAAGACGACCTGCTCCAAGACGTTAACCAAAGTAGGCGATGGCATCCCTTGAATGTTCGTTCAGTCATGTCAGTTCATTGATGGTTCCCACTCTCTTACACGCCGGCAGACCCACATCGGATGATGTGGAATTGGGGCATGATATTAATCTTAGTTTCGGCAACATTGTGAAACATTTTGGTTAAGTTTTTTAAACATTTTTATTTCAGGTTAAACAGCTATACAATGACAATATAACAAAGTTGTACTTATTTATTACAATATTTAACAGGTTAATGTGCTAGGAGCACCGAGCTCTAGTTAAATATTCACTAACTACTGTGAGCCCCTCTTTGCGATTTTTATTACTCGTCTGATTCAAATAATGTTGGTATTACATTTCTGGTGCCAATAGTGCTATATTTCCTAAAAGAATAATCTATTGTCTTTCAAATAAAACAAAAATCAAGGTAAACGTTTTTTCTGTAACTTATGCACTTTCAAAGGTAGCGTAAACCCATTGAAATCCATGGAACGTGTAATTGAATTATCGACAATTCGAAGTTCATCTTGTTTTTGTCTTTCCATTCATATTTCGAGATGTAATAAGGATTAAGTGAGAAAATAGATTGATTCTTTTTGCCTTCGTATTATTCCAACACAATTTCGGCCCATGATTTTACCTAGCATCACATTACAACGGAATATTAGTACAATAACGTCATTTCTAAGGGCGATATAGTGAAATATTGGACGGAGGGCCGAAGGCCCAAGGTCCAATATTTCACTATATGGCTCGCAGAAATGACGTTATTAGTATTATTACCACCGTTAACGACCAGGACTGAAATAGCAAGAAAATCTTACGCATTGAACGATATCTAATTTCCCGGGGAAAATTGCCGGTCTAGAATATATTCTAGACCGGTCCATATGGACCACCACTATGACGTCACACATTTCTCAGGTCGATATAGTAAAATAAACGCCTTCTAAACTAGCACTAAAACCCCTAGAACTGGCCCGGCAAGGTGGTAATAATGTACTTTAATGTTGAATCGACTTGCGTACTTCCGCAAATCGCGTTCTCATTGGTTACTCACCTGAGGAATGCATACTCAGTTGCAGAATGTGTATTACGTTGCATTACGTTTTACGCATTATGCATCATTATGCTTCTAAGTCAGCCGTGACATTATGATATCTATAATATGTACAATACACGCTTTGAGGTAACAACATCGTCATTTAAATTCTACCATAAAATAAATCTGGAATATTGAGCTATTCATAAAAATCCTTTCATTTTCACTATAAGAATATCAAACGTTCTAATGGTACACGCACATGCAATTGCAAGAAATAGAAGTATGAACTATATTGAAGAGTGAATGTTATAAATAAAGGATTCCTCTCGTAACTGCGATATCAAATATTATCAGAATAAGGTGTATATATATCTAGCGCGATCTAAAAAATAGGCTTTTCAAGTCAGTAGAGTTTTCAGTAGAGGTGTATCGTTGTTTTTTTACAGAAAGTCGGAAGATAATATGAAAAATTGTGATTTTGAAAATAAAAAATGAGTTATTTTAGACTAGAAATCTCCCGTTCTAAATCGGAACTTGACAGTTGCGAATCAAAGGCAAATGGGCGAACGAAATAATCTTAAATATATGACGATGCAATCAATATATGTTTTACATTTAGCAATACCTTAATACAGGGTGGGCCAAAAAAGGTAACACAAATATACGTTAATAACTCAGTCATCCAGTGTGGGTTAATAGTCATATTTGGTATTTTCATTGAGCCAAGTTGTTCTGACTACACACTCACAGATATATTGTTTTCCTTCTAATCTTTTGTTACTCTGATACTTCAAGGGTTGTTAGTTTAGACAAAATGAAATAGCCACAAAGATGAAATTCCGGGAGTTCATATCGGGTGAATTTGGTATGTTTCCGCATTTGGAGATATTTTGCAAAATGGCCATCAAATTGCGACCTTTGGAAAAAAATGACTATAAACCCATGCTGGATGACTGAGTTATTAACGTATATTTGTGTTACCTTTTTTGGCTCACCCTGTATTAAGTTATTGCTTTATATATGTAAAACATATTGATTGCACTGTCATATATTTAAGATCATATTTCGTTCGCCCATTTGCCTTTGATTCAAAGAACTCATTTTTTATTTTCAAAAATCCAATTCTGTATTGCTGTCATCTACCCTTTGCATTCGTTCGACCTCACTTCTTAAAAGAGAGCTTCGTCTTCGGTAGTTTATAACTAGACTCTGCGCGCAGGGTAGGTGTCATCTTTACATCGGCTTAAATATTTTTAGAATTGTCTTCTATATCTACAGAGAACCAATAAAAGAGATACCAAGAGGCTTGCTAGCTCCACAATAGACACTGCTGACATGCCAGCATACATCCCGATGATTCCCCCTAACTCAGACAAATACTTGTTGAGTGGGTAACTTTGTTCTTCGGCAATTGTGTTCACAGTTAAGGAGCGATAGTAAATGTTGACTTTTAAAAAGTTCTTCTCGATGATCTTGTTGACCACATTGTATTTGTTGATGATTGGGTCTCCGCCATACTCATAATTATACCAATACCAATAATCATAATCGTCGAGTTTACTTGGGTCCCGTAGTTCGAATTTGCAATCCAAATATGGCCATGTATCAGTATAGAATAACGGGGGCTCTCGAAACTTTGAAGTTGTGTCATAATTTGAGGGATCTACGATCTCACAAAACGTCTTTTGCGAATCAACATTGTCAATGTCATTATGGAATAAGTTTTCATTTAAGATACGGGCAATTTTTGGTTGCTGTCTCAGGAATCTGATGAAGTTTCTACGATTGATTCCTTTATAGTATTTTTCGTTTGGCCATGGTACGGAATGTACTAGAGGATCGTAGACGATGTCAACGCATTGCTTCTTACAACCACATGTTTGGTTACCGACAGAAACCATTTTTGTCACATTTTTCTCACAGTTGATTATTTCTAGAATATCTTTGAAATCATTCCACTTGATCACTTTATCCCATTCAAAGTCATAAACAACGTGTGAATACTCAGTTAACCATACGTCTATCATCTTCATATAAATGCTTTTCACTTTTTGACCACAGTAGGGGGTTTGTGATACATTCGTATTCGGTGGCACAGGTCCATTGAAGGTCATACATCCACATTTTGCTATCATGAGTTCTTGCTGGCACTGTCTGAGGCACAAGTCCACTGTATACGCGTATGGTGTGTCCTTGTTGTTCTGTTCATTGGTACACTCTCCATATGGTGGCTCAAGCAAAGTACGAACATCTTGTGCGAGACCAATTGTGATGAATTTTCCTGGTGAAAGGTCTATACCTTCAATATCCATATCTGGCATCGTACCTGGAGCATGGATTGCCATCCTTATACCGTCACTTAATGTGGCATAATTGCTATCAAATTCACGGAGTTCGGATTTAAAGTTATCTCTGCTTGTTAGCTCATTCAATGGTGAGTAAGAATTAAGGAATAAGACGAGACGTAATCCAAAGTCTGGTCCTGTTTCACTTACATCAAATATGTCAGTTGAATAAGTATCGAATGTATAGCAGTTACCATAGCTTCCAACAGTTACGTTGATGAAATCAGTCTCGTTGCATAACTCTCCATTGAAACGGCATTCAATGATTAAATCACTGTATGTTCTAAGGCGAACTGTGTCCCCTACAAGGTCTAAATACCCCTCTTTCCTTACTAATCTGTTCATTATAGGTGCTATCAAGTTTTCGTGTACACTTCTATTGTTTGAGTAGAAGGTTTCTATATCCTGACTATGCAACTGAAATACCATATCGTTATAACCAAGGTACCAGGTCTTATCAAAAATAACGGGCAATACGGGACACAGCGTGACTGAAGGAAATGTAACCAGTTCCTCACGATTGTACAGAGAGTCTTCAGTTGGAAAACTGAGATATTTTGAGGTAACTTCCGTAACACCTTTGAGCACAACACTCCAAACTCCCAATGCTATTAAAAACCAAACTACCCTTGCAAACATGGTGTCAGCATTGCGAATATTGATGAAAGGTTGAATAGAAGTAACATTCGCAAATGAGGATAGTTTTTTCTTGAGACTGTTATACTTCCTCAAACAGGCATCAGATATTGACTCGTATGTTTCCGGTACATGAGATGCCTCAACATCAATTTCACCTTCGATATTCTTGTCATTGAGTGTTTTTTGTTCAACGACATGTATACCTTCAATAATTTCTGCTGGAACAGTATGATCTTTAATTTCTTTTTGGAGTTTGTCGCATAACTGAAATTCAGTAACTGTAGATGAATGTTGTTCATCATTTCCTTTTATTTCATTTATTTTACAAAGGTCGTTGTTTCGGTTGGGCTCCAGCGTTGCTGCATTTTCTGACTTATCTACAGCAGAGCTCTCTGCAATTTGTTTTGGTACTCCTAATAATTCGGCATTGGTTGGCTTTTCCTCACACACATTTTCTGGATTGATTTCATTCGTTTCATCACATTCATTGATTTTAGATAGATTTTTATTCCCTAAAAATCCCCTTATTGCTATATCTTTTGATATATTAACAGAGCTTTCAACAATTAAACCATCACCCTTTTTCACAGACTGTTTCCCAGATGGAATAGATATAGAAGTAAGTTCAGTCATTGCGTTCATGTATTATGGTTTTCCCCTCAATAATTGGTTTAAATTTTCGAAAAGTCAATGCTTTCCAACGTGTATTATGTTTTTCCTCAATAATTGATTTAAATTGTCGAAAAAATTGAGACTTTCCGACGTGTATTGTGGTTTTCCTGAAATAACTGATTCAATTGTCATAAAAATGGATACTGTCCTACGTACGTGTATATAGTTTTCCCTTCAGAATTAATCTAAATAGATACCATCCTAACTTCAGATGAATAGCTGTCCATATTTCAATCAATTGAAATTTTCATTTCCTCCCAGGTAAAAATGTCATTCCTGAAATAAAAACAAATAACATTTCTATTTTCTCATACAACATAAAATTGCCAATTACATTGTAAAACTGACAATTTCTAAATTGTCGTACCCTAGAATTTGTATAAGTAGCATAGGCAAGGTATGTTTAATATTTCGCTTGTTTTTCATTTTCTTAGCTTGTATTCGCGAACGGCGAATGTAACTTACGCCTAGTGGCTACCGGATTAAGCTTCTATTTTATGACCAACTCAATTAAATATGAATGGAAAAGTGGCAGATACTATTCATATTGAAATGATTTGCCCATAAAATAGTGGGTTATTGTCCATCGAAATTTTAAGATAAATACGCTTGAAGACAACCACCCCCTTCAATCTGCCTGATATGGAAAACAAATGATATTGTACAAATTTATTTCCATTTTCGGTGGATACCTGAGCATCTTTCACAGTGATATTCCACGAAGCCCGAATGGCTAGTGGAATATCATCTTGTGAAAGTGTCACAGGTATTTACCGAAAATAGAATTACATATTTGTTTTATTATTCACTGTTATATTCCTCACTCACATTAATGGAATAATAAACTATTAATGTTTAATTAATCATAGTAATGTACTCCTGGGGATATATAAAATAAAAATCACACTGGACTTGGACTAAATCGTGACTGATGAATATCATTTGACATTCAACGGAAGTCATGTGACTTCTGTTTGAATATCGCTTGTTATTTTTTAGTCACGTGTAGGTCATTGAACAATCAGAAAGTGAGGAATATTACAGTGATATAATAATGTTGATAATTCAATTTTGAGTTAAATAGATGTCAATGGCTTTTTGCGATACCTGCTATCTTTGAAACTGCATAAGTTCAGTTTTAGTAAGCGTTTACCTTGATTTTTATCTTATTTGGAAGATAATAGACTATTCTTTCATGAAGCACAGCATTTTTGGCACCAAACATTTTTAGAAAGAGAATTGACAATTTATCACAAAATGTCAAAATTTCACAACCTCGGCCAAAGTCACGTTCACCTCGATTAGACCTTTGTTTACCTACTTATGTGTAAGTGTGCATATCTTTATTGCCCTTTGGGAATAAAAATAGTACCGTGGGTACTGGGCTCACATGGTGTTGCTCAAAAGTGAACGACGGCTAAAATGACAGAAAATAAAAAAAAACGGATATAATTTTTTGCTGTTTTTTGTAACAAAATTATTTTATACAACTACTCTTACAAAGACATAGCTTTTTTCAATGCAGGACACCAGAAATTATTTGTAAAGCTAGGAAATGGGCCAAAAGTGAATTTCGCGAGACAAAAATGGCGGCCATTTTGAAAATAGGCGAGCTTTTGAAGCAGGAGTCACAGGGGTTTTTCTTTATTGATGTTGAACAAAAATAACTTGAAACGGGAATCTTATCGACAGAGGTTTTAAGGCAAATGGTCCAAAAGTGGATTTCGAGAGACAGATGGATAAATCAATGTTAACTAAAATGGCTGAAAATAAAAACATGGATATAATTTTTTTGCTGCTTTTTTGTAACAAAATTATTTCATACAACTACTCTTTACATTGACATGGATTTTACAATGCAGAACACTTGTCAACACTTGAGACAAAAATGACGACCATTTTGAAAATAGGCGAGCTTTTGAACCAGGAGTCATAGGGGAGTTTTCTGTATTGATGTTCATCAGAAATAACTTAAAACAGGAATCCTATCGACAGAGGTTTTAAAACGTGCCACTATTGTCGACGGACGGACGCACGGACTGACGCACGCACGGACAGACAGACGGACAAGTGAGTGATTGCAAAAGCTCACCATGAGAGCTAAAAAGGAGACGCATGTATACTTCTGTGAAAAACAACACTTTTTGAAAGTGGTAATTGAATTGGGTTTACAACATTACCATCATAAGAAATCACGGCCTTTTATTAGCTTCTTTCTAGAAGTTGAACGCAGAAAGATGTGATGGTGTATCACAATACAACATAACCATTATTATTGAAATCAGACAAATAACAAAAAACCGAAAATCGCCAAGGAGAGGCAATGAATCCCTCCTTGCGACCTTTTTTATAAAAAAGGTTGCAGACATTAGGGTTAATAAAATTACTGCGATCATCTTTATATCGGCTTTAATATTTTTAGAATCGTCTTCTATATCTACAGAGAACCAATAAAAGAGGTACCAAAAGGCTTGCTAGCTCCACAATAGACACTGCTGACATGCCAGCATACATCCCGATGATTCCCCCTAACTCAGACAAATACTTGTTGAGTGGGTAACTTTGTTCTTCAGCAATTGTGTTCACAGTTAAGGAGCGATAGTAAATGTTGACTTTTAAAAAGTTCTTCTCGATGATCTTGTTGACAATATTATATTTGTTGATGGTTGGGTCTCCATCATACAAATTATGATACCAGTAATAATATCCATAATCATAAAGATTACTTGGGTCCCGTAGGTTGAATATGCAATCCAAATATGGCCATGTATCCGTATAGAATAATGGAGGCTCTCGATACTCAGCATTTTTTACATAATTAAAGGGATTTACAATGTCACAAAACTCGCGTTGTGAATCAATACTGTCAATGTCATTATGGAATAAGTTTTCGTTTAAGATACGGGCAATTTTTGGTTGCTGTCTCAAGAATCTGATAAAGTTTCTACGATTGATTCCTTTATAGTATTTTTCGTTTGGCCATGGTACGGAATGTACTAGAGGATCGTAGACGATGTCAACGCATTGCTTCTTACAACCACATGTTTGGTTACCGACAGAAACCATTTTTGTAACATTTTTCTCACAGTTGATTACTTGTAGAATTTCTTTTAAATCACTCCACTTGATCACTTCATCCCATTCAAATTTGTTATTTGTGACAATATAAGGTACATTGCTAACCACCTGAAAATACATGCTTTTCACCTTTTGACCACAGTAGGGGGTTTGTGATACATTCGTATTCGGAGGCACCGGTCCATTGTAGGTCATACATCCACATTTTGCTATCATGAGTTCCTGCTGGCACTGTCTGAGGCACAAGTCCACTGTATACGCGTATGGTGTGTCCTTGTTGTTCTGTTCATTGGTACACTCTCCATATGGTGGCTCAAGCAAAGTACGAACATCTTGTGCGAGACCAATTGTGATGAATTTTCCTGGTGAAAGGTCTATACCTTCAATATCCATATCTGGCATCGTACCTGGAGCATGGATTGCCATCCTTATACCATCACTTAATGTGGCATAATTACTATTAAATTCACGGAGTTCCGATTTAAAATCATCTCTGCTTATGAGTTCATCCAATGGTGAGTAGGAATTGAGGAATAAGACGAGTCGTAATCCAAAGTCTGGTCCTGTTTCACTTACATCAAATATGTCAGTTGAATAAGTATCGAATGTATAGCAGTTACCATAGCTTCCAACAGTTACGTTGATGAAATCAGTCTCGTTGCATAACTCTCCATTGAAACGGCATTCAATGATTAAATCACTGTATGTTCTGAGGCGAACTTTGTCACCTACAAGGTCTAAATACCCCTCTTTCCTCACTACTCTGTCCATTATGGGTGCTATCAAGTTTTCATGTACACTTTTGTTGTCTGAGAAATAAGTTTCTATGTTTTGACTGTGCAATTGAAATAGCATATCCTCAAAACTTAGGCGCCATGTGTTATTAAAAATAACAGGCAACACGGGACAAAGCGTGATAGATGGAAATGTAACCAGTTCCTCACGATTGTACAGAGAGTTTTCAGTTGGAAAACTGAGATATTTTGAGGTAATTTCTGTAACCCCATTGAGTACAATACTCCAAACACAAAATGCTATTAAAAACCAAACTAACCTTGCCGACATGGTGTCAGCATTGCGTATATTGATGAAAGGTTGAATAGAAGTAACATTTGCAAATGAGGATAGTTTTTTCTTAAGACTGTTATACTTCCTCAAACAGGCATCAGATATTGACTCGTATGTTTCCGATACATGAGATGCCTCAACATCAATTTCACTTTCGACATTCTTCTCGGGGCTGATACAGTTCGTATCCTCATTTCTTGTACTTCTTGTTTTAGAATCCGACGTTTTATCACTGAGTGTTTTTTGTTCATTGACATCTCGGATGAATTCATTGGTTTCTACTGGAACATCATGATCTTTAATTTCTTTCTGGAGTTTCTCAATTTTTTCAAGTTCAGTTTTTGTGGTGTGCATTATGTCTTGACACAAAGCGATAGATGTTTTTTCCTCATTATCTCCATTTACTTCCTTTATTCTAAATAGGTTGTCATTTCGATTGGGTTTCAGCGCTGTTGCATTTTCTGACTTATCAACAGAGCTCTCGACAATTTGTTTTAAAATACCTGAAATTTCGGCCTTGATTGTCTTTTCTTCATCTAACAACGTATTTTCTGGATTATTTTCACTTGTTTCATCATTTTCATTGATTTTACATAGGCTTTTATCCTCTAAGAATTCCTTCACCGCAGTATTTTCTGATATATCAACAGAACTTTCAACAATTAAACTATCACCCTTTTTCACAGACTGTTTCTCAGATGGAATAGATATAGAAGTAAGTTCAGTCATTGCGTTCATGTATTATGGGTTTCCCCTCAATAATTGGTTTAAATTGTCGTAAAATGGATACTCTCCGACGTGTATTATGGTTTTCCTCAATAATTGATTTAAACTGTCGTAAAATGGATACCATCGATCCTACGTGGTTGTTTAAAACATCTTAGATGCTCTAACAGTGCTGGCTACTGATATGCTTCATCAGCAGTCTCACTCCTCCTGCTTTCGGGGATTAAACTGAAGCAGATATGACTAGGAGTTACCCCAAGCAGAGTTGATCAGGCTCCACCAGCGTATCATGTTTTCCACTCATAACTGATTTAAATAGTTTTAGAATAGATGGCATTCTATCTTCAGATAAATAGCTCTCCATATTTCAATCAATTGAATTGTTTCCTCCCGGTTAGAATTTACATTCCTGAAGAAAAATAAACATTTCTGTTTTCTCATACAAGATAAAATTGCCAATCACAACTCACAATTTATAGATTGTTGTACCCCCGGGTGTACCCTGGCAAACAGTCAGATTTTTAATTCCATAAACAACTAGAGAATAAGCAATCAAAGGACCACATTGCAACAGTATATGAAAAATATAAACATATGCACAAGGGGTAACTTTTCTATATATTTCAGATAGTTGAATATAATGCTAAGAAAAGCGATGTCCTTTTGTAAAGGAAGTTTCAGCCCTGTTAATTTTTCGAGAGAAACGTTTTCCTAATTTTCACTAAAAATGCAATCTTTTATTAGAATTGTGAATGCATGATTAAAATGTACTTTAAGACATGTTCCATTTCCTTAAAGGAAAAGTGGATTCCCCAGGGGACTTTAAAGATACTTAATTTGGATGATCAAAATGAGCTGAAACCAATGGATAGCATGAGTTTTTTCAATAAGCTAACATGGGGAAAACTAATCTTAGTGGAATTCACTTTTCCTTTCAAGAACTAATTGAAACATAAAGAATCGTAAAAATGATTGCTTTTTGGTAAAAATGAGGTTAACATCTTTGATAAAGTATGTTGACGGGTTGATTGCTAGCTAAATATATCTGAGTCCGATTGACTTTATCACCATTGCACATACTTTAGAAAACGAATGGATCTAAAAGATATACGTCTCCATGGACAAAAAATAGTCCGAATCTTTAAACTTTTTCAAGAATTTTCATTTATTCAAAACTTCACTTTATCTCTCATTCAACAGAGGATTTTAGGTAGATATTGCTCATGGAATAAGGTCGTCGTTATTCACCTGCTGGGATGATATGAGGAATATCCCCTTGGATGGTATCAATATGTATTTCCCTCTGTCACTGCGTTCCCTCGAGAAATATTGATATCATCATTGTTATATTCCCCATATCAATTCCCTCCTGGTGAATAACGACTTTATATGTATAGAAATGATAAATTGAATGACAATAAAGTAAAGTTTGAAGTTTTTTGTATCAACTTGGCTCGTTGTGCAATAGTTGATAAGGATGTACAAGTTGTATTTTTATTGATGAATTTGCGAAACTTGACTGGACTTTGATATAAGGATATTTCTCGATCTCAAAGGATGGGTATCAATATGGTAATTTTTTTGAACTCACGTTTCTCTTAAACCAGTCATCAAAAAATTCTGAACATTTAACACATTGTCAATTTAATGGCCCTTTTTTAAATATAATTAAAATAACAATATAATTTGAAATAGATATATATACTTTTCTCTACATTGTTTTAGAAAACACATCAGACACTTCTTTTGTTCTTGGTATCATATGTTCGGAATGAAATGAAACATCTATCCGATCCTCATTGGAACAAAATGACATAAACGCAACGTGTTCATGTCTCTCAATATTGTAATTATAAATTATACCTCTATAATAATATTTATTTCAGTTTAGTCAATTTTTACAATAACATACAGTTTTGATGGAAAAATAATGAAAATGCAATGACACTTAAAATAAGTGTATTAAATCACACAATAGTTTTAATAAATGTTTATTGGAAATAGAAAAGGTACAAAAGAAAAAGAAAAAGGGAGTCATATCTTAAGATAAATAAATAAAGTTTTTATCTATTTCGGGGGTTTTTGTTTAATGTTTTGAATACTTTTTGTTAAATCAACCAAAATTTCCTTTTTACAACTATAATATTGGGAAATCTAAGAAAATGTTGTATATGCTATTTTGTTCAAACACGCTTCGGTAAAAAGGAACAAAAAACAATTGTTCTAAAAAACAAAAAATGTAAACAAAAACAGTTATATAAAATATATATAAATTATTTTCGCATTAAGTTGTTGTCAATCAGTCAACATTACATGAGGACCATGTTTTTTACAGAATGTTTTCAATAATCGGTTTAAGAGAAAACATTGTTGAATTCAGTTCTCCATATCGATACCAATCCTTTGGGATATATATTATTGAAAATAAGAAAACTTTTTGACTTACCGTTCTTTACTGGTTGCTTAATATAATATATCTGCATCATTGCTCTGTCCATGGTGTATCACGTTATTTCTAGGCATTGCAAATAGCGCAAAATCGAAAGGTATCGAGTGTGCCGATTCTCATTTAATTATGACGGATCATACTTACATGATATATATACTACAAAATGAATGTAGGTTTGAATACAGGATATTCCAGCTATTGGTTCTAAAATCAGCCAATGGGAAGAAGTATAACAACATTTATGAGACACTGGATTTAGCCAGAAGTGACTTCACTTTCCTCGTGAATAATTGTGTTTTAATCACACCAAATACGTTCTCAGCGTTCTTTCCAGCCCTTCAAAATACAAAAATGTCGTAAAACGGGCTAAATCTGGCTGTGGTCGGGAAATATGTCTAAAATAGCAACTACGTTCATAAACAGTTTTCAATACTTCCATCTCATTCGCAGTCCGTTCAGGTCGCACCATGGTAAGCAGCACGGTGTGATGGGAGAGCATTGGACTATTGTGGTGGTCTTTGCGATGAACGTTGACAAATGATATGTTTATGTATGTTATGGACTGAAACTGTCTCATATAAAAACAATACTGTATTCAAAGTTATATAATTATTGCTTGTGTCAAGAATATATCGTCAATGATCTTTTTCAGTTTTAGCATAAGTATGCCACAATACGAGTGAAATGCCACATTGTCTATGGTAGGTTTGGTCCAAAAAGCAAAGCTAAATGAACCCTACATCGAACTAACGAATCCTTAATTAAAAATGACCAAACTGGAATATAAAACTTTGCATGCTATGATCCACTACCTTAAAAATATTGGAAACATGGTAATCTATTTTCCATTACCTTAATTAAATTAAGAAATTAATCAGTAAGCTTTAATTTTTTTATCCTTATGAATTTCTTTCATCGTACTAGGGACGCACAACTACAAACTTTCCCCGGGCGACTCTCTTAAATGCCTGGGGGCGCTCTAACTATTACCCTACTTTAACGAGTTTTTTGTAGGACTTGAACGAACGGTTGAGAACTAGTTTGGTGTAATAGGGGGGAGGGGGGGGGTAGGCATACTCGCTTACAAGTTTGATTTTCAATCATGATAACTTCATACCTTGATAATCCAAGATGGGGATTAGGCACAAAAAGATTGGATGAACAAATTACCAAAGCTGCGGTCACGTAAAACAACATCCTTGGTCAAAGATATTGCACAGTGATGCCCTATCTTGAAGGACAGCATAACTAATTTTCTAAGTAGTATTCTTGAATAATTTTGCCGAACGGGCCTGAACTGTGAGCGAACGGATAAGACGGAGTTACAACCATTTTGTATTAGATATGAGGGTTCGAGAGCTAGTTTGGTTCAATGGGTGGGTGGGGGGGGGGTAAACAAACTGGACATGACATTTTAAATAAATTACGTCAATGATCCATGATAAGAAACAAGAAATGAGATCTTTTATTTTTATCAAAATAAATGGATCGTCCCATGAATGGTTTAAACATTGTAGGAGCTCTAGTGTGTACTCGCTAGAAAATGTTGAGATATCAAAATGTTGTATACATTTTTTGGAAAGTCAATTCTTATTTACAATTAATGGAATCCGGAAATTGATGCCGTGGAAGCGCAAATTTAATTACAAATGTTGCCTGCAGCAGAGACATACCTCACCGAAATTAATTCCGCATAAGCATGTTATTCATTTGTCCGTATCCGGTGCATGATTTGAATTAATATGCAAGATGCAAAATGCCACGACCTCCAATTTGTACAGAGAACAAGCACTAACCGCCGAACGCCGAACACCAACAGTCGCCACAAAAAAGTTGGAAACTATAACAATTCATCACTTGTCACTATAGTGTTGACATAACATGTTAGCTGTGTTATGCAGTGGTGGTAGGTTATTCAATGATACTCACAAGTCGTGGTAGGTCGTAGATTGTTCATCGGTGGGTGTACTTTAATTATTTCGGCAGCACTGTGTTAGAATTCAAGTAGTTTTCTTCGATACTAGGGGTTTTGTAAACCATTCGCACTCCTGGAGGAATACTCTGTAATAGCGAATTAAATGTATACTACGAGTATTAAGTGAATGTAGGCTTTAAAACAATTAAATTAGCATTTTCGTCACTAATTTTTCGAGGACTGAATTGATTGTCACAGCCAGGGAGGGTGATAAGCCCATGCCTTTCCCCGCCGTCCATTTGATTGAGCCAGAGACATATTCTGTTTTATATGTCTCTGATTGAACGTCCTCGGAGTAGGGTTATCGCATCCTACGACCCCCACTACAATCTATTAAAGTGGTCGCAGGATTCGATAAGGAGTAGGATTGTGTATGGAAAATATTTGAGTTTTGTTTCATAATGAATCTTCACCAAGTTCTTACAAGTACAATACAAATATACCAAATCAGAAAATCATGAGATAAAAAGTAATAAAACACATAGATGGCGAAACTCCTTGTTTTTTCATAATTAATCAGACAATGCGCCTATTTTTGAAGGAAAAAGGACAAAATATCATTTGAGACATGTCACTCAC